TTATTACCTACTTTTCAAATGTATAATATAATTTAAGCTTTTTTTGATGACGTAAAACAAATTTATGTCTTATTATAAAGGTTGAAAAAACCTATTCCAAGTGCCCTGCAATCGTAAAAATTATAAGCAACAAATTATAACTTTGTTAGTACCTATAGTTACCTACAATATTTTATAGAATAACTTGGTTATTCATATTTTTCACAACTTACGTATCCATATTTGTGAACTATACCTATTGCTTGTAAGTTGTAATAATTAATTTAACATTTATAATTTCCCCAATAATATAAAATAATGAAAATCGTTATCTTTCAAAAGGCTTTTTTTAATTGAAATAAATCTTCAATCTATACAAATTCTTTGTAAAATGAGTAGGTTTGATAAGTGACAAATAAAAGTCAAAACATAAATCGTGTGATTAGGGGAGATACCCAGTGGTAACACACTATAATGTGACAGTAATAACAATGATAATTTTTAAATTTTAAAAGGTATTACCTGGTAGCAACATCCAGYACTTATTCAGCTCGCTTACTGAAGAATACGATCTCTACACTATTGCCTTTTACGGTGCCATTCAAAAGATTTAACTATATAAATATACAATATTACAATATATTGTATGTTAACAATAAAAGTATATTAACGTCAAATATCATACTATGTATTAGTTTATATATATATTTACTACTTTTATCCGGGTTTTTTAAGATATATATATATATACTCATAATAAGTACCTATAGTTTTTTTAACTATGTCTAATATCCATAATTCTCTATATCTAAATACATATTATTGTTTATAATTTATCAAATTTAATTTTTGTGCTACACATTGGCCATTGCCCATTTTAATTTCAAAAGTATTTACTATAGAAGTTAAAAAAATGTTTTAAAGAAACATGTGCTCTTGACATTATATGAACTTTATAACTTAAATATTATTGTTTATATTATTTTTTGTTTATTCTATCCTGGGTAAAAATAACTTGTATAAAAAATATTTTACTTGTGAACTAGACGTTTATGTGATATTTGTATATCAATCTCATAATTACAACCATAACATTTTTTCTGACATCATCTTTTTTTAGTTACAATAAAAACAAAAATCTAACTTTCAATAATAAAAATAAACATTTCTTGAACAGATGCAATTTAAAAATAATAATATAATACTTGGCTCAAAACTGTATTGTCTAATTCATTGTCACAAAATATAATTAAATAACTTAGGTAACAATATTTGCATCAGTGTTAAAAGAACAAAATCATTCAAGTTAAAAGTACTGTTATAGTATTAGGTACCAATATGTACTACAAAATATAACACTAATATCCCAATATACCATAATAGGCAATCAATATAAACAATTACAAATTGTACTAACTATATATTAACTATTATATGTATAATACCATACGTCTGAACGTTCATAGTAACTATATTGTTGATATTATATTACAGTAAATTATATAGTAAATATATTACGATCATAAACTTATTTACATCATTAAATGTAACAAAAAATACTAACTGAAATTAATTTAGTCAGTACTCTGCAGCAGGCGCCAGGCACCTATTAATTGTAAATATGCTTCGTTGTATTAAATATGCTGTATTTAATAATTAACTTAATAATAATTAATTAAATTGGAGCTATGCCGTATGTGTAGCTATATGTAAAATAATTTCAACGCRAATCAGTCAATGCATGTCTCTAAACAGTAAATATTTGTATAACACATAAAATTCAGTTATTTTCCTTTGTAAAATTGTATAAAGTAACATTAAAAAATCTATAATAAATTAATAACTTTTGCTGTCGAAGTCTGAAACGAAWAATAATATTTTTAAATCAAAACATTAAAATCGATAATTGAAAAACTTCGATAAAATTCTTTTACAATTTTGTTTATAATATAATATGGAATATAATTATTATATCATTATACAAGTTTATAAA